ATGGGATTATGCACATAAAGCTATTCATTTGGCAAATACTTTTGAGTGTGTGATGTGCCAGGCATGATTCTAGGAACTGAGAATAGAGTCAGAACCAAGACAATCCCTGACCTCAGGGAGCTGACATTGGAAAGAGGAAGGGACAGACACAGACGTGCAATTTCAGCTTAGTGTACACACTCAGGGTCATGGGACAGAACGACCAGGAGGGGAGGGCAGAGATCTCAGCTGTAGTGGTCAGGGAAGGCCTCTGTGAGGAGGCAACATGCAAGGTTCTCAGTTTGAAAGAGAAAAACAATCTCTTGTTTGTTTTCTGCCCTAGTGCAAAGAACTAGGGCAGAAACATTCTGGGAAGATGTAACAAGAACAAAGGTCCTAAAACCAGAAACACACGTGGCACATCTAAGGGGCAGGAAAGAAGCCAGTGTGACAGGAGCAGAGGAAGACAGAGGTTGGAAGGGAAGGCAGGGCCAAATGGCAGACAGCCTTCCCAGCCTGGCCGAGGGAGAGCAGGATTTTAGCACAGTATGAAGCCAGCAGAGGGCTTTAAGCAGTGGGACTAACATCATCTGAATTTGGTTTAAAAAAATATCACTCTGACTGCTGGGTGGAACATATAGATTTGTAAAACTGTATCTAAATATGTAGGGGGGTGCACTTCAAAAGGTTTGGAAGCATACACACCAAATTCTTAACTAGAGCAGAAACAGTGGGCCAAGGCGGGTGTATGCAGGGAGATAGGGCAACTGACAACTTTCACACATGCTCACACTATTTGAGTCTTTTATAAGAATATATTCGGCCGGGTGCGGTGGCTCATGCCTGTAAGCCCAGCACTTTGGGAGGCCAAGGCGGGTGGATCACCTGAGGTCAGGAGTTCGAGACCAGCCTGGCCAATGTGGTTAAATCCCGTCTCTAATAAAAATGCAAAAATTAGTTGGGTACAGTGGCAGGTGTGTGTAATTTCAGCTACTTGGGAGGCTGAGGTAGGAGAATTGCTTGAACCCAGGAGATGGAGGTTGCAGTGAGCCAAAATTGCGCCACTGCACTTCA